AAGTTTGTACTTCTTAATCTCTTCACCTATTTGATCCATCCCCATGCTCCCCTCCCTTCTAGAAACCACCAGTTTGTTCTCTGTATTTATGAGTCTGTCTCTGTTTTGTTTGTTTGTTTTGCTTGTTCATTGTTTTGTTTTTTAGGTATTTTATTTTATAAGTGAAATCATATGGTATTTGCTTTTCTCTGTCTTATTTCACTTAGCAAAACACCCTCCAGGTCCATCCATGTTGTCCCAAATGACAAGATTTCTTGTTCTTTTCTTTTATATATCAGCTCTGGAGAGCAAGGTGTTGGTTGAAGATTACTGAAATGACCCTAAAAGATTAGGGAAAAAAGGCAGTGCCCAAAATTAATCCTGGAAGGATTTGAGAAAAAGTCAGGGTAAAGACAAAGTTGGACAGAATATATGAAAGAGTGAGACTAAGAGAGAGAAAGGCGCAGAGGGCCATGGTGGAGATGTGATCAAAAAGTAGGAAGACTGTATCTCACTCATCTCCACATCACACTCCCCTACTGTATACACACATGCACATAAACACACATATATAATATATATTTCAATGGAATCATATAACCATTGTTATATATTCATTGCTTTTAAAATTATTTATTTATTCAATACATTTTTAACATTACTTTTTGTAGTGGTTGTTAACATAATTCTAAATATGCATTTACCTCTATTTTTAGCTTTATCAGTTTTGCTCAGTGTTCAATCCACTTCTAGTATATTTCTTTTTTTTAATTAGTTTTTCCATGTTTATGGGGAGTGGGGAGCCAAATTGGGGCATTGCTGCTACCCTGAAGTTTTGAAAAATGAGAGTCAACTTAGTCGTTCTGTTTTGTAGGGGTAGGGAGAGAGTTTCTTACACTGAACACTAAACAGAAATTAAAGGCACGGTGACAATTCTGGTCATATTTAAATGAGTTAATATTTGTAAAGCACTCAGGACAAAACCTGGCCCACAGTCAGGGCTATAAAACTGCTTGTTACGTAAAATGCATTAAAATCCGAAGTAGTAAGTGCCATAGTAGAGATATTTTCAGTATCTCTACTGAAAATATTGGTTTAGGGTGCAGAGGAACTGTGAAGGCCTAACTCTGTTTAGAGGGTCAGGGAAAGCATCAGAAAAAGAAACTTTGGAATGGGTGAGAGAATTCCAGGCAGAGAGACCCATGTGCAAAATCACATAGGCCTGACAATAACAATTAGGGATATGCTGGGAAAAAATAAAACGGTCCCTCTCCTACCAAAAACCCTGGTTCGTAGATTTTGTCTATTTCTGTAGTGTAAATACTCCCACATGGCCAATTTTAAGTTCCCAGTGTGAGGCCACTGATTCATATGTTGAAGCCCTAACCCCTAATGTGACTGTATTTAGAGCCTTTAGGAGCTACTTAAGGTAAATAAGGTCTTAAGAGTGGGGTGGGTCCTAATCTGATGGGGCGGGTGCCCTTATAAGAAAAGGAAGAGCCGGGAGCGCCTGGGTGGCCCAGTCAGTTAATCGTTTGCCTTTGGTGCAGGTCATGATCTTGAGGTTCTGGGATCGAGCCCCACACTGGGCTCCCTGCTCAGTGGGGAGTCTGCTTGCCCCTCTTCCTCTGTCCTTCCCCCCAACTCCCCTCGTGCTCTCTCTCTCAAATAAATAAATAAATAAATAAATAAATAAATCTTAAAAAAAAAGTGGGGGGGGAGGGAAAGGAAGAGACATCAGAACTCTCTCTTCACCATGTGAAGACAGCGAGAAGGTAGCTGTCTGCAAGCCCATAAGAGAGTCCTCACCAGAATTGAATTGGACTTCCCAGCCTCTAGAACAGTGAGAAAATAAATATCTGTTGTTTAAGCCACCAAGTGCATGGTATTTTGTTATGGCAGCCTGAGCAAACTAGGATAGTTGGAAAGAGGTGCACACAATGGACTTGCTAGCCAGTCCAAGCTGACTGCAGCACAGTACAAATAGAATAGTAAATAGTTCCTTAAATCTTGAGCGCAGTCATCCAGAGAGTGCAGAAAAATCAGATTGGGCAGGATAATAAAATGGCTTGGATAACATGTTAAATAGCTTGGATTTTATCTTGCAGGGGTGGGTCTCAGGCAGAGGAGACACATGATCAGAAGGCTCTGAAATCCCCACCCAAGTTTATTGGTAGGGAGCAAGACTGGGTTAGGAGTCTGGTTGCAACGGTCAAGAAAATTGAACAGAGGGGATGGAGAAGATGGGATAGATGTGTAAGCTATGGGGGAGGCAGAACCAGTGGAACTTGGGGACTGAATGGATGTAGGGGGAAAGGAGAGAGGTTTTGGCTGACATTCAGACACCTAAGTTTGTAAATGAATATTATAAGTAAGTTACTAAAACCCCCACCACTTCTTATATTCTATCTTAACCCATTCAGGCTGCTAACAGACTACCACAGAACTGGCAGCTTAAAAATAACAGAAATTTATTTCTCACAGTTCTGGAGGCTGGGAAATCTGAGATCAAGATGTCAACAGATTCCGTGTCTGGTGAGAGCTCATTTCCTGCCATCTTTTTGCTGTGTCCTCACATAGCAGAAGGGGCGAAGGATCTCTCTGGGCCCTCTTTTATGAGGGCACTAAATTCCATTCATAAGGGCATGAGTGAAAAGAAGGATCCTGAGTATTCAGGTGGGCACAGGAATCATCGAAATCTGAATTGTTGCTGCTAATGTGACCTTATTACCATTCTCAGCCAACAGAGGTCAGGAGAAACTTGGCTTAGAGAAAGTACACAGATCCTTTAATTAACTAAATACAAATTCATCTAAAAAGCTTTACTGAATTAATAGTGACTGTTTCATTATGCCTTTTCTAAATTAAAAGGATACTAAAAAGATAATTACAATTGTGTGGGGGTAATGATGCATCTTTCCAGTCTGAAGCTCCAAACCTATTCTCCATCTCTCTCAACTCTGCCCTGTGCCCAAGGAGGCTGATCTATACAGAATGGAATGAACAGCCTCCGTTGTCCTCTGGCAGTCAGTACGTTTTGACCAATGGGAGGCAGCAGCAGATGAAATAATGAAAGGGCAGTTAGTTTAGGGTATTTATTTTCTCAGTTCCCTCCCACTGAGTGACCATGGGTTAGTACATTTCAATTGGTCTTTTCCATTCAACTATTCTCTTCTGAACCTTTGTCTTCCCATTACCCTTTCATGCCCAGGGATGGTGTATTCATTTGTTACTGCTGCCATAACATAGTACTACAGACTGGGTGGCTTAAAAAAGAGAAATTTGTTTTCTCATAGTCTGGAGGCTGTAAGTCTGAGATCAAGGTTTGGCAGGGCTGGTCTCTTCTGAGGCCTTTCTTCTTGAATTGTAGATGGCTGTTGTGTCCCTGTGTCTTCACATGGTCTTTCCTTTGTGCATGTCCATGCCCTAATCTCCTCTTCTTATAAGGACACCAGTTATATTGGGTTAGAGCCTGCCCCAATAACCTCATTTTAACTTAATAAAATGTTCTTAGGGTCTTTAGAGATCCTATCTCCAAATACAGTCACATTTGAGGTACTGGGGGTTAGGATTTCAATTGAATTCGGAGGGATGCAATCCAGCTCATAATATATGGGAATAGCTCCCAACGTTTTGCCTTCCCAGGGGTACTGCGCCATCTGAGTTGTTTTCCTAATCCTGTCCACACCTTTGTAAAAGTTATTAATTCTCAACTACCTAGTTTGAGTGTACCATCTGCTTCCTGTCCAAATTCTGATTGATACATGGAGGCTTACCATAATAGTGCACATTAAAAGAGGGACCTCATTCTCAAAATGGTTGGGAACCACTCTATTTTGGGGAGAAACAGCTTTCATATTCAAGCATTAAAACTAATACCTTACCAATGCCTTTCTATTCTCAATTATTGTATTCAGGAGATCACTAGAATTCTTTATTCCTTTTTAAAAAAAACAAGCTACATTTTTATGTGGGATGACTTGAGGCAAAGGTAGATTAGTGCTGCTGACAAGAGAGAATGGTAGTATTACTATTACCAAGTAGCTTCCCAGCCCCCTTTTCCTATTGTCCAACTTCAGGCTTCAAAATGAGGAAGGCACTTCCCTACCCAGGACCAAAGATCCTTTCCTAAAAAAAACAACAAAAACAAAAACAAAAACCAAACACCCCCCCCCAAATCCCACAAAGATCCTTCCCTTAGTCACTGAGGTCACTGCTACTCCTCTGGGAGGAGGACTATCTGGCGCTGGCCCTGTAAAATCCACCCTCTTACAGGGCTGGAATCCCTGGGCTGGGAAGCTACCTTGTTTGGTAAGGCTGACACCCATCATGGGCTACTCCTTCCTCAGGTAAACCTGTTTCCTCCCTTCATTATGAACCTAGGTGTGGATATTTGGTTTCTTCAAAAGCTCCAAGCAAAAATTCTCATTTGGCTCAAAATCCTTCTTACCTTTTTGATATGAAGACAGATAGTAAATGACTCACTAATGCAATCAAGACATTCATGTAGGCCCACTACACACACACACACACACACACACCATTTCCACCCAGATATGTGTGTAGGAGGTGGAGGGGCAACAGAGATAAATAAGGCCTCTCCCTATTCTTTGCGTGCCAACAGCCGTACCAGAGGACCAAGAGGGAGCAACAACGTCTACCGCACGTGGCTATTGAAATGTGACATTCAAGCCGGCTCCCTCCCCAAGCTTATTTTCTTTGGGGTTCACGGAACACACGTACTTCTCTCCCCCTCTCTCTCTTTCTTTCTGGAAACACGTCTTTTAATTCTTATGATCGCTTTACTAAAGAGGTTTTTTTGACCAGGACTGAATCGCTGCCCCAAGCCGCACAGCTGGTCACCAGCCCTTACAACACTCACACAAATCGCAGAGAGAAAGGCGGGGCTACACGCATCCCGCCAATCACGTGGCCGCGCACACTGTGCCAGGGCAGCCTGGCGCATGCGCTGTGGTCGGGTCACCCTTGGGGGCGGTGCTTACGGCGGACAAAAGACGCATGCGCCGCTTCCGACCCCTGTCCCGCTTCCACGGCTGCTGGCGGCGGTGGCGTCTACATTTCGGTACGGGTGGCCGCGCGACCCTGGGGTGAGTGTTTGGGCTGCCCGGCTGAACGTCAAGCAGGGGATGTGTGGGCCCCGCTCGGACTCCCGGGCGCCCATGGCCTCGCCTCGGGCATCTGGCCACCTTGAGGAAGCCCATCCGCGGGGCCGGGAGCTGGCCCTCGAATCGGGAGCGCGCCTTCCGTGCCTGCGCACCTGCGGCCGGAAGTGACGAAGCAGCGCGCTCTCACCTGGGGCGGCGGTCGGTCCCCAGCCTCCGGCTGGCGGCACGCTGACGTGCGCGGCACGCTGACGTGCCCGCCACGAAACTTCAACTTCTGGGTTTTGTGTCGGCCCCGGAGCGCAGAATCAGCGCGGCCCTGTTTGATTTCGATTAAAAAGCTGGAGTTGTTTGTTACTTGGAAGAGAGAATCGGGGTAAATACAAGTCAGGTGCTTTGGGCATTGTTATTGTCAAGTGGGAGTGTGTAAAGGAGGATTGAGCAGTCCGTATACGAATGCTGTAACATTGATTTCCTACGTAGCATCCATCTTCACCCTGTTCCAAGCTGCAATCATTTTTCACTCGTGTGTCTTCCATCATTTCCTTGTTGTACTGTTTCCTCCAATCCGTTATCCATACAGTAGCCCAGGTGGTCTCTTAGGAACTTGAAATAGGTCATGCCACCATCACCCAGTTTAAAACTCTTAAAAATCATTCCATTGTAATTGGAATAAAATCCAAGTTCATGTTTTCCTAGGTCCTTTGTGATCTTGACTACCCCTCCATCTTCACTTATGCCGCACTCCCTCCCCAGCTAGGCACGTTTACAGCCAAATCTGCAAACCAGAATCCAGCTCCTCCCACAGAAGCCCCAGTGCTCAAAGGGGAGGACAGTGAAGTTACTGTTTTTCCAGATGATTACGCCTTGCAGAGTGTTAGAAGGTATTCTGGTAAGATTTATACAATGAATGGAGTCTTTATCAGCAACTTTAACTCAGTTATTTGTCCAGGATAAAGTAAAAAATTCTCACTGCGTTCCATCCTTCTTTCATTTTCCCAAGTACACCAGCTCTTACCAGCCTTAGAAATTACACGTTTCTTTGCAAAATGTTCATTCCAGTTTTGGCCTGATTAATCCTTTTCATCCTTCAGATACTGGTTCAAGTATCACTTTATCAGAGAGATCTCCCTTCTCATACCTACCTCTGCACTGTCAGTTAGGTTCCTCTGTTATTTTGTCCTAAAGAATCCTGTATTTTTATAGCAGTTACCATAATTACATTTGTGGGTATAACTTATACATGAATATACATATTTAAATGTGTAAATATATATGTATATAATTCTTAAAATGTATGTCTTCCCCAAGAGACTCTAAGCTCTATGGTGACAGAAACTAGTTAACCTAGTACACTGTCTGGCATAATTGACTATCAAGTATTTGTTGAATGGATGATTTATTTCACTTCTGAAACTGTTTAGCTTCTGATGAGAACCTCCTGGTTTTCTGCTCTCATTCCCAGGAGACTTGCCCTTTGGTCCATGGTCATGCTCCAAGTGGCTTTTTGATGACTCCCTCTCTCCTTCCCTCCCTTCCTATCCCAGTCCCTTCTGGCTTTTTTTTTTTTTTTTTTTAAATCTATCCAGCTTGGACCCAAAGTTCAGTTACTTGAACTACTCTTCTCAGCATTTGTATCCATGCCCTTTTGTCCTTCTGCTACTTCTGCCTGAAAACTCCCAACAGTGACATTTCCCCTGGGGCTGTTAATTACCAAAGGAGGAAAATGTCCAGCCTTGGGGATTGTTGGCAATCCGTGGTTTTGGGGGGCCCTCCACACCTGTCACCAGTGTTTGTTCCCCATCATTTATTCCAGATTCTTATTCTTCTCCAGCCCCTCCTTCTGCTTCCCATCTGCTTCCTTTCTGAGATTCTCATTTTTATGACTGAATTCACCAGTGACTCAGTTGTCCACATCAGATCTGTTATTTTAGACTCTGTGAACCTTACTTCCCTTCAGCATATATGGAGTATCTTTTATGTATCAGATCCTGGGCCAGGGGTTCAGATCTTAGCTTGTATATGTTTCTTTAGCTCCAGACCCAAAGCATTGTCCATTCCTCTGTTTCCAGGTGGCCTCTTGTTGGTGCCTCTTCTACAGACCTGCCCTGCTGTGTTGTTATTGACGTGTCTCTCCTCCCCTAGAGAATGAGCTGCTCTGGAATGGATAGTGCTAAGTTCCTGGAGTCTTTGTATCCTAGTGCTTAGTCGCCAGGACCAAGGTTTTATTTAATGAGAAATCAGTGGGGCTTATTGGGAGAACTTCTGGTATTTTTATATAAATAAAGTTGCGGTGGTGAAAGAAACCTTATTCAGTTAAATAAAAAGCAAGGCTGTCTCTTGGTTATTGCATGGCTTTTTAATGTATTTATTGGAGTTACACAGGCAATATAGTGAATACATATTCACTATTTTCATTATTCCCCCCATTCCTTCTGCTTCCTCCTCCCCAGTGGTTGCGGGTTTAGTGTGTATCTCCAGATCACTTTGAATGCATTCCAGACACACAGATGCAGATATATATTTTTTTATCCAAGATAAATGTGTTCATACTCTGCGATATTTTTTCAGTTTACAAGACTTTTATATCAGTGTCACTGAAAATACTTAATGCCTATACTAAACTATTGGCATGCTACAGTGAACATCCTGTATGTACGTGAGTATTTCTCTGGAATAAATATTTGGTCACATGCATTTTAAATCTTTATAGATATTGTTAAATTGCCTTCCAAAAAAGTTTTAGTAATTTATATTGCCAACAGTATTGTGTGAGGGTGGATCTTCCTTGTATGTACTGGGTATCATCAGGCCCAACCTGTTTTTGCCAGCCTGATTGGCAAGAAATTGTATTGCACATTGAAATGGGGTTATTTTTGAGAGTACTTAATCTTTCTCAGATTCAGATTTTAGTGGTGATACTGTGTCTCGTTCAGAGTTTGTTTATTAGAGTAAATGTTCAACCTAAGTTTCTCCTGGTCAGATTTGTCGAGAAGCTTGTTCCTTACTTCACTGAATTTGTATATCACAGTTCATCATGCCACACTGTATTGTGAATCTTTTGTGCCATAATGCAGTGAAGATGTTAACTTGGAAAGTAGTCAAATGACTTCAGTTGATTTGGAGAAGACTCTTAGGGTGTCAGTCAAGATTTTGGTTGCCAGTTTTCTTAGCTGGCTCTCCATATGTCCTTTGTTGTTGATACTGTGTTTTTTTCTTGTTTGTCTTTTGTTTTTGTTTTTTTTTGGTTAATTTTTTTTATTTATTATCAGAACTCAAGAAGATGTATAGCTTGTGCCCTTTTAAGAAAAGTAACACTTGAAACATCGAATTTACCTAATTGGAGGATTATTACTTGATCTTTCGAGAAATCAGTCTTCTTTAGTTATAATAATTTTAAGGAACTATATAAATATCAAAGGCTTATTACATTTTTTTTCCCTTTTAGATAGTCTGTAGAGGATGCAAAATGCGAGAATCCCCCACTCAAGTCAAACTCAGGAACAAGACTGTTTGCAAAGTCAGTATGTCAGTGATAGACAAGAAATGACAATCAAGCAAGAGAATGATGACAATGCAGAGGTGGAGGAAAGCCTCCCCTCTTGTTCCTCTGCTAATGGACCATCCACTTCTGCTGAGGGGTGTTCATCGGAAGTTCCAAGGAGAGGGCCGGCTCTGCTGCACATCGACAGACATCAGATACAGACGGTGGAGCCGAGTGCGCAGGCCCTTGAACTGCAGGGGTTGGGTGTGGATGTGTACGACCAGGACGTGCTGGAACAGGGTGTGCTTCGGCAAGTGGACAGTGCCATTCATGAGGCCAGCCGTGCGGCCCAGCTTGCAGATGCGGAGAAGGAGTATCGATCAGTTCTGGATGACCTCACGTGAGTGTGGACCATCTTCTCTGATTGCAGAGTTTGTGTTTACATGTAATGGAGAAATTCAGATAATAGCTGTGGTATTCCAGAAATTTAGGCGATTTATAGAACCTCTTATTTGGAGGATGGAGTCAATTAGGGCAGTCCTTGACCCTGTGTGTGAACCCCAGTCCTTTCCCTCAAGGAGCAGCACTGAACGTCGTAGTCAGGGTCTCAGGCCAGCTCACAACAACCTGTTTATGCATAACGTCCTAGAGAGAAATACTATTCTGAGTACCCTAGAACTCACAAGCATGTGCCCAAAATGGTTTGGAGGAGAAGTGAACCTAAAGGTGTGACGTGTGCTACTTGAGATACCAGGAACACATCACCCTCCCTCCCCTCACAGTTTTCTCTTGTCCTGCAGTTTCTTTCCAGTTTCCTGTGTCTAAACCAAGTGTCAGTGTTTTGGTAATTTTTCGATTTGCATTTCTGGAAATAATGTGAAGCAGCTCCTTGCTTTTTCTTCCTTCTGTCGTACTTGTGACTCTACAGGAAAGATGAAGTCCCATGGAAACTTGATTTGTGTGTTAGAGGAGAAGCAGGCTCTGGACCTGGGCTAGAAGGCTGGGGCAGGTGAAGATTGAACTCCTTCCCTATTGCCAGTCTGCCCTGTCTTGGCCAGTGTTCCAGGCTGTGTCAGGCAAGCACAAAAGAGGAGAGTAATGAGTGGAGGAATGGTGCAGTCTCAGATGGGGATGGCTGGGGGAGGGGAGGAGGGAAGAATGAGGACCTATTGGCTACCCTCAGCCAAGGAGACTGTGGTACAGATGGCTGTTGGAACTTAAAGGACATGTTTTCTGCCAGCAGCTTCCTGGTGTGTTCTTTTGGCTGCTTGAGTAGCAGGTATTCTGGAATACTTGTAGTATTCCAGGTGTGAGGAGCTTGACTCCTGATAAGGAACACACTTTTACATTTGACCTTGGAAATGTGCCTACTGCTTGCATAGGTGACATTAGAGTGCTGCAGGATTACCACGGAGATGAACACTAGATCCATGGTGACACATGGTTAGACTGCCAGTAACTTGCATTGATAACATCTTTTGTCCTGAAATCCACAAAGGATACAAAGAGCAGATTATACAAGTGTCAAGATTGAATTTGTCTTTTGAAAATTGGGAGTTACCATTCTGTGGTGTCGGTTTTAGGAGCATTATATTAGAGATTGTTTTTTTTTCCCCTTCAAACTAGAAAATATTATGCTACAGCAAATAAGTCTTCCAGTATTGTGAAAGAATAATATTGTCACAGATATCTGACTTATATAAAAAAAAAAGTGTCAGCATTTTTAGTACTTTTCCAAACTTTGGGTGACTTCCAAATGAGCTTTAAAAACCCATGTATGGGTTGTTGATAACGGGGGAGGGTGTATGTGTTTGGGGAAGGGTATATGGGAGTCTCTGTACCTTCCTCTCAGTTTTGCTGTGAACCTAAAACTGCTCTAAAAAAATAAAATCTTAAAAAAAAAAAACAACCAAGCCATGTATATCCATTTTTTTCATCTAAAAGGACAACTTATTGCACATTGTTTTAGCACAGTCTCTTGAATCTGGTACACATTTAAAATGCTTGTAGAATGAATGAAACAGCTTACAAATGGGAATGTGCTGATTTCAATCAGCCAGATCAAAGAAAACACTAGCAGTTACCTTGAACTTCTAATAACCCTTCAAGTTGTAGATGTGGCCAACAAGAATATGCATTCTGGTTTAGTGTCTTTTATCTTTTAGTTAAAGAGGTAAAAGGACATCTTTGTAGCATTTCTGTCTTCAATTACACTATTTAACAAAATGTTACCAGAGTGGAAAATAGACATTTTATTTTATTTTTCAGGTCATGTACAACATCCCTAAAGCAAATCAATAAAATTATTGAACAACTTAGCCCTCAAGCTGCTACCAACAGAGACATCAACAGGAAACTAGATTCTGTAAAACGACAGAAGTATAATAAGGTGATTCCAAATAACACATCTAAGTATTGCATTTTTGAAAAAGTCATCAGTTCTGTTCATTTAATATTTGGGAAGTATTCTGAAAAGTAGTTAAGACGTGAAGGAAATAGGTATGATAGAAAATTTTGAGTTCCTTTTTTTATGTTTAATATTGCAGCTATTTCCCTTTAATACCTTCTGTTAAAGAATATCTTTTAAAGTACACACATACACATACATTTGAGAAAAGGTTCCCCTGTTGGCTTTGCATGCCGCCTTATTGATGTTTACGATTATGGTCTTCCTTGCTGTGCCATTTTCTTTTACCCAGCTTAGGCTCCTGTTTGGCATGCCGGCCTCTCCTCAGTCTCTGTGTGTCGTGTGAACTTACTTTCTTTTTTGCTTGGCTCCTGCTTGTCCTGATTATATACACTGTGTTTCCTGTTGCTATAGCCATCACCCCTCACACACTCATGCTCACTGTTCTTAGGTATTCTGGTCGTCACCTGGACACATTGATGGGTCTGCACTTAGGGTTGTACAACTTCAGGGTAGGGAATATCTGTTAGTTATGACACTGTTTTTTTTGAGGTTTGTAACATTTTTTAGAATTTATGCTTTATGAAAATATATCAGAGTAGACAGGAATGACTAGTTTTGATCATTTTATTTCTGCCATCCAAAATGACGAGCAGATATCCTTGTGCTGGCAGTTGACCCACTGCAGTGAGTAAAGTTCTTGCATCTCTTATTTAAGCTTCACTAATGATGTTTATAGACTCAGTGCCTCCTTTTGCTTTCCACACACCAGTCCATTATCTTCACCATCCCATCTTCTGTCCCCTACCTCCAGAATAGCAGCCCAGAGGTTAGAGCTAGCAGTGGCTTCAGGAAGCTGGGGTCTCCCCAAAGCAGAGAGAGGACATCTGGGCTCTTGTGGGAGCATGTGAATGAATGTTCAGAGACCTCTGACCTTGGGCTTCTGGTGGGCTGAGGTTTCAGGGAGCAGTGAGGACCAGACTTTGGGCCATTTTACGTACTAGTCTAAGTCAATTGTATATTCCTGTCTTTCTAAAACAGCCCTTTGATGGTTGGAGATAGACTATTCAGAGAGAAAGCCTGTGTTTAGTATTTAGAAAGGCTGTTTAAATGAGATGAAATGAGGGAAAACGGAAAAAAAAAGGAATTGCAGTTTAGTATAACATGGCATTTATACTCAGCATTTCTTCTCATCCCACTCTCATATTTGGTGTTTAAACATTCTTGACCTTGGGAAGAAGAACCAGGTACCATAGGCCTAGTTAATTGGAGAGGCCCTGGGAATGGCTGCATAGCTGAACTCTCATGATGTAGAGGGAGACAAGACAAAGAGGGGTCTGAGGTGGGTAGGGTAAAAGGGTATATCCAAATGTATATTCCTTTTAGAGTCTAGTAATTGGGTAGAATACTATAAAAGACTATAAAGGACAATTGTAAATATGGTAGATGATCAGAGGAGGCTTTTTCAAGTGTTTGAACATTTGTGTTTGTTTCTTATCCCTATAGCCTATTGACCTCATAGTGTGTTGTTTGCTAAGGTCAGAAACAAAAGTTTAATAACTTACCCGGTGTGCAGTGGGGAAAACCAAGTAGAGCAGTTCTACCACCTCCGTGGAGAGTCAGTACATGTGAACTTAAGTGCTCAGGCACATAGAAAGCTGGGCCGCCCAGCCAGGAGAGTGGGTGGGGACAGCGATGCCTGCCTGATGGAAATGCTTTTAGGCCTACATCCTGCTAGAAAAGTGGCAGTTGCTCAAATAAGGTGCTCTATAATAATAACATATGGAATTTCTGTTTTATTTTGCTCTTGATTAAAGTTTTTAAATTTATCTTTTGTATTTAACAATAAATCACTGACTTCATTGTTGTTTTCTGTATTCAATATTTACCACTCAAGGAACAACAGCTAAAGAAGATCACAGCAAAACAAAAACGTCTCCAGGCCATCCTTGGAGGAGCAGAGGTTCAAGTTGAACTAGATCATGCCAGTCTGGAGGAGGAGGGTGTAGGTGAGGATACTGGGAGCAGTGTCTCTTTGTTCTTGAATTGGTGCCTGATGCCTGTAGTGGGGGAGAGTATCTCCTCTGTCCTGGCCTGGGTTTTAAGAAAAATCCCTTTCTTTGCCTTACTGTTAAAACAGATTTAGGAAAATTTTACTCTCTACACCTACAGAACCAAATATCTTCAGTTATATGGGGGATTTTTGGAGAATGAAAATAAATGCTTAACTCCATCTACTAGAGGCTGCTGGTGCACATTTGGTATTATGTTTAATAAATTAGGGAGCTTAACATTCTTGTGTAGTTAATTTTGTAGAGACAACTAACATCTTGATCAAATTATGTTTTTAAGCCCAGCATCATTAGTCAGCATTCATAGAATTGCTTTTACATATGTTTTTGGGATATATTTGGCAGGTTTTCCAAGCATCACTTCTTTTGTTTAAGAAAAGCTATCTTCATTCAGGTTATACTATGGCTCTGATTTTGTTTTTATTACTGCCCAGGATGGGTGTCTTTTGGAAAATGTTTTGAAAAAACTAGTAAGCTCTGAAACGAAATACCTTTGTAGTCTGTGTGTGTGTATATGTAGGTGCGTGTTTAGAAATTGTTGGTAGCTGCTCAGTCATTTAATACTTGAAATATAGACTAAGGCTTCTTAGCATTTAAGCTTTCCAAGCAAATATTTTCTACTAGCTCCTGAAGTTTATTCAGTAATACAGGAGAATTACTATGAAGAATTAATTGAGGCAATAGAAAAAAATATCAGAGTTGGACTTTTAAATTTCAGTCTCTCAGAATTCGTTTGGCCTGTGACCAAGACTTTCACTGCTGAGGTGCCGTGTTTCTCGTTCCTCTCTGGCTGCCTAAAACCTGCTACTGCGTTTTACCTCCTCTTGCTTTGTTGGTAAAACTTTGCCCAGGATTAATGGTTACTTCCCCAATTCCAGAAGCCCCTTTTTCGTCCTTGCTCCACTTGGCCTGTCTGTAGCAGCTGATACTTCTGTGCCGTCCAGGATCCCAGTCTCTCCTGGTTTTCCTTTTGGCCCTCTGACCGCTTCAGTAGGTTGTTTGTTTGTTTTTCTTTTTTGAAGGAGAAAGTCTGGGGTGGGAAGTATAGGGTGAGGGTGGGGCCATTAACAAGCTGATTCTAAAATTGATATAAAAATGTATTGGGCCAAGAAAAGTTAATCTTGAAGAAGAACAAAATATCAAGACGTGTTATTAAGCTACAGTAATTAAGACGGTGAGGTCTGGGCACAAGGAAAAACAAATAGACCAATGGGACAGAATATAGGGTCCAGCGAACAGACCCACCCATATGTGGTCACTCGGTTTGTGACAGGGCAGTGCAGCGCTGTGAAGAAGTATCATCTTTTCAGTAAGTCGTGCTGGGTTAATTCACACGAAGGTAAAATGAATCTTGGCCCATTACACCATGTACAAAAATAAATGACAAATAAATTTTAAATACATATGTGAGCGGTAAAACAAAGCTTTTAGAATATAGCATAGGAAAGTATTTTCATGATCTTAGGGCAAAGACTTAATGAGACACAAAAATGCTCACTTGTAAAGGAAAAGGTTTGATAAGTGAGCTATATCACAACTAAACTTCTGTTCAAAAGATAGCATTAAGAGAGTGAAAAGGCAAGCTGCAGAGTGGGAGAAGATATTTGTAACACATGTATTAATTGAAGGACAGGAATCCAGAGTGTATTAAAGAACTCTTTGGAAAGGGCTAAAGACTTGAACATTTTCTTCAAAAGAGGCTATTCAGAAGGTCAATAAATCTATGAAGAGGTGCCCTAGTTCATTAGTTTATAGGGAAATACAAATTACAACCACAAAGTGGTACCATTACACATGTACCAGAATAGCTAAAATGGCAAGAACGTAGACCAGTTGAAACTCTCAAACACTGTTGGTAGAACTTAAAATTAATAGGACCATTTTGAAAAACTGTTTGGCAGTGTCTGCTAAAGCTTAACATACCCAGAGAATTATGTATAAATGTATTACTGAAGGATGTGTACTGGAATATTCATAGCAACATAATACATAGTAGCTAAAACCTGGAAACTACCCAAATGTCCATTAACAGTGGAATGGAAAAATTATAGCGTAGCTATATGATAGAATACTAACAGCAAGGAAAATTAACAACTGCAGCTATATTCAACAATAAGGATGAATCTCAAGCATAATGTTGAGCAAAATAAGCTGACACAAGTGTACAAACATTTCCATTTACATAAAGCTCAAAGCCAGGGACAGCTTGTTTGTAGTGTTAATAGTGTGGTCAGTCGTTATTTTTGGGTGGGGTAGACTGGAAGGTGCCATGAAGGGTGCATCTGGCAGTGCTAGTAATTTCAGTTTCTTGGTCTGGATGTTGGTGTACAGGTATGTTTTTTTCTGAAAATACAGTGAGCTGTACACTTAGTATTTGTGCACTTTCCGATGTGTATTTTTCTTCACTGCAAGTTCAGTGAAAAACTGGCTGCGGCATTACTGGACTATAAGAAATGTAGATTTTAGAATATGGATTCCTTGTGTAATGTTGCCAGAGATTAAGTTCATAGATTTCTGGGTGACTTTATATTATTATGACCGAACTTCCAGTTTATGTCCTCTGTTCTGTCAGTTTGCACATCTAACACAGTGCTGTCCAGTAGACCTGTTTGCGTGATGGAAGTGCTGTCTGTGTTGTCTGTTGTGGTTGTCCTTAGCCCCACATGGCTCATTGAGCACTTGAAATATGGCAAGTGCATCTGAGGAACTGAATTTTCAACTTAAATTTAAATAGCCACATGATGACTATTATATTGGGCAGTGCAGAGCAAACATTTAAGTTTTACCTATTTAGGTGCATGTTGATTCTTTATACATTTGCAGTTTTACTGTCTCTTGAATTTTAAGTCTGTGTGGTTGCTGGTATTCGAGGTGACATGGAAACTTGGGAGTTTGCTTCCTTGGGGGCTATTCTTTGATAAGGAAACAGACACATTTGTCTGTATGTTACATATGAGTAGGTCTGTCTCTGGCTGCCCAGAGAGTATATTTATAATGCATTATTTTAGAAAAAGTTATTGAAAATTCACCTTTTTGAATAGGAGTATATTGAATTTGGCATGATGAATGCTATAATAAATTCATTCTTTTCTTTATATACAATATGCTTTAGTACATCCATGATATGTTTTAATTTTTAAAAAATTTTAATTTTTTTTTTTAGAGAGAGAGCACATGCAAGTGGGGGGGCGGAGCAGAGGGGGAGGGAGAGGGAGGGGGGAAAGAATCTTAAGCAGACTCTGCACTGAGCATGGGGCCCGCCATGGGGCTCAGTCTCACAACCCTGAGATCATGACCTGAGCCGAAACCAAGAGTTGAAGACCCAAGAGACTGAGCCACCCAGGCACCCCCATCCATGGTATGTTTTTAAAATGTGAGTTAATTGTAGGTGCTGTTCGTTGAAGAAGTGACTGTTTGTGTTGTACTCTTGGAAAGGTTTACACTAGTGCCCACTGCATTGTCATCCCTCTTTCAGAACCGGGGCCGTCCTGTCTTGGCAGCATGCTCATGCCTGTCCAGGAGACGGCTTGGGAAGAGCTCATCCGCACGGGCCAGATGACACCTTTTGGAACCCAGATCCCTCAGAAACAGGAGAAGAAGCCTAGAAAGCTAATGCTCAATGAAGCATCAGGCTTTGAAAAGTATTTGGCAGATCAAGCGAAATTGTCTTTTGAAAGGAAGAAGCAAGCTTGTAATAAAAGAGCAGCTAGAAAAACCGTGGCCTCGGTCACTTCGGAACTGAGCGCATCACTCCCAGAAAACAAACCAAATGAGCGAAGCAAAGTTCTCTCAAAAACAGATAAGCGCTTGAAAAAACACATCAAGAAGCTCCAGAAAAGGGCTCTTCATTTCCAGGGGAAAGTGGGCTTGCCAAAAGGAAAGAAACCTCTGGAGTCTGACATGAGGCCAAAGGCAGAGGGTGACTCTGAGGGTGATGAGTCCGAGTACTTACCCACAGAGGAGGAGCTGGAGGGGGCGGGGGGTGCCGAGCTGCCGGGAGAGGGCACACACTATGACCTGAAGCCCGGGCTCACGCCCCGGAAACGGCAGAGAAAAGTCACGGTACAGGAGATCGAGGATGACTTTTTTCCAAGTTCTGGGGAGGAAGCAGAAGCCGCCTGTGGTGGAGGAGGTCGGAAAGTAGTGAGATGCCGAGATGATGGAGATGAAGATTATTATAAGCAGCGGTTAAGGTCAGTCTGCAGATTGTAAACATTGCGCCACTTGCTTTCTCTTAGGCCACGGGTTTATGAAATAAGAGTTCTAAATTCAGCTTAATGTATTAGACCCCCGTTTATCCAAAGGTTGGACTTCCTTTAGCCTTAGCCTCCTTGAACCAGCAGAGCCCCAGTGGAACTAATAATCCCCAATACTTCTAACTTCTGTATCTTCATTCAGATTTGGGGCAAGTCTCAGAAGAAAAGCTTAGGGGAAGGGCTGGGGCAAGAGGCTTGTGGAGGACCAAAGGCGGAGCCGTATGCCTTTACACTCAGGCCACCTGTAGCCAGGGGCAGGAAAAGGCACAGGCCAGTCTGTGTGGTGTATGCTGCGTGGTTGGTTTTTTCTTTTGAAGCAGGAAAGTAATTATCCAGGACGTTCCTCCGAAAAGGAGCTGAAATTTAAGCTTTAGTGTATAAAAGAATAAGCTTGTTTTCTAAATTCTGCCTGCCTTGTCTTGAGAAGGCGGCCCCTCTGGAGTTACTAACTCCTGTCCTGCTGCAGGAAAGGTGTTTCACATGCACCGCCAACCCTTCCTTTTCTCTCTTGGTTTTGAGGTTTTGATGCCGGGCACTGACTTTGGCTTTTCTTGCCATGACTCTCTCAGTAGATGATGCAAATAAGATGAAAGGGAAGGTGATCGTGTTCCTTCGGGAAGTCAATTGCCACATTTTTTGTAAGCCCTGAAAAACTGGATGCTGCAGGTACCCGGTGTGCCCACTGAGCACAACCCTGCCGCATCTCTGGCCTCCCACATGAGCTCACGCAGCACTAAGAAAGTCCAAGGGAAAGGGAATCTGTTTAACAGATTAGTTTTTAAGTATTTGCTCCCGGGATGGCTTTTTCCCAGTCCTTAACAGTTTTTTCTTATTTTCTATGTAGGGAGACCTCATTTTTTGTGTTTCTTGTAGCTTTCCACTGACCTTCGTGAATGCAGATTGTCCTGATATTTTTTCCTTCTGTTATTTAGAACTGATGACCCACATTCACACTGTCACATAATTCCCTAACCCTTTAAAAGCAGATGTGGCATAGTTCTTTTCACACAGAGCTTGAGGACCTGTGACCTAAACCCAGTTCTTGAGAGCTGTTACACCCACGCGGTGGTGACCTCTTGTAGCATAGTTGAGTAGTGGCTTACATTTGTTACTTCTCATTGCAACTTTAACTGTATTTTGCACAATTAATATCAGTAGAGCTGTTTGAGGGATATCAGCAGGATACTCTTGAACCCTGAGCAGTGTCAGTCTCTTTCTTAACTAACTGTAGAGAATTAAAAAAGTGTTAATCTCAACATACTGATTGTAAATGGAACAATATTTTCTTCTCATTCAATATTAAATTTATTTTAAATGTATTAGTATCTTGATCCGAAGCAGTTTATTTTGATTGAATTTTAAATACGGGTTTAATTTAAATTCATGGCAACACTTTTTTCTTAATCTCAAGACTGTAGAATAGTTATTTCTAAAGCCGTATCAAAGCCAGTTTTTTGCTGAAGTTACAGTAAAATCTCAAATGAATTTCAGAAATATCAATAACTCTAATTGCCACCAAAATACTATAGCTCTTAAAATTTTATGGCCACAGTTACTAAGGCTGTTAAACAGCAGATAACACATTGAAATGTTTGTATTACATCTCCTTTGGTACTCTTTGGATTGGGGGATGGTAAAAGAAGAGGCTCAGGACTGAGAAGCATTATTAAGAACATTTTAGAACTGCCAGTTGCTTTTTTTTTATTTTCTTCTTGTTGCTGATCTTTGAATACAGATTGAAATTGTGATGGTATTCCCTTGAGTGAACCAAAAAAAAGACTTTAGTTTCCCTTATCTTAGCAGTGGTTTGATGATCAGAATAAAGCCCCATAGAGTTTGCAACATAGAAAATGAGTTTTTCTTTATGGTTAGAGTTTAGGATTATGTACCTAGGCCAGGCGCCTTTTATTGAGCTTGTATTGGTTATAGCCCTGTGAATTATAAGGCTCATTTAGACTCAGAAGTGAAAGTGAGTCACTCCTAGAGATCTCAACTTCTTTATTCTCTCAGCTGGAGCATCAGAGGTCTTGCCTTAGCTCTAGCTTAGTCCCAACTATGTATCTTTGTTTTTAGCTGTTGCCAAGTGTGGGAATTTCCTATCAAGCCTTTTCTATAGCTTAACCTTTTCTGGAACAGGATGATAGTATTTAGGATCCTACTTTCTCCGACTTAACCCAAGACCTCAGATCAGCCTTGGAAGTGTTACCCGTTTTTAAATGTGCCCGTATGTTTTTTGCCTTTCCCACATTTGTATCCTGCTTCTGTCTCTGTACTTGCATTTGGAGGCTATCTCCTCAGTGGTGTTCCTTGATTTTCATACCTCTGATAATGTACCAGGATGGATGAGCCAGTTCGTAGAAGTACATATTCTGTCGGTTCTTACTCATGTCCTTAGTATGCAGATCCTAGAAAACATCCCTTATTTTTTAATTTTCATTTTGTAGCAGCAGAGTTTCTATTAGGGTATTGCTTTTAGTTGTGAGGTTCAGCTTTTCTTAAAATACATTGCTGCTTTAGAAAGCTAGGGTCTGGGAGCTCCAGGAGTCAAAGACTTCTTAGGAATGACACATGTTCTGTGTTTGAGCGATAGGTGTCCCTGGTGAACACTTGCGTGTCACTTATCTCATCCAGTATGTACAGCCAGGACAGGTCAGGGTGGCCCAGAAGACCAGACATTTCATATGTGCACCTTTCCCCTCAAAGAGATCAAAGATCAGCAGTCCTTGTTACCTCAGTGTTTCTGATTGATTTCCACATGAGGTAGGAGGCAGCTCTCATTGCTACGTCCTTGCTCTCGCTGCTTGAATTCATGTGTGTGCTCCAGGACCAGGACTAGGGTTTCCAGCAAGGAATTTGCAGTCTTTTAGGGGACATGGGCACCAGTAGGCCCTAACCAGTGTGAAGGGAGTAATGAATTCAGACAGATATTTGGGGGAGACTTTGTGGAGGAGATTCATCCGGGCATGGGGCCTTGTCTGTTGAGTAGTTCAGATACGTTGAAATAGACCTTAGGGTGCAGGTTATTGAGAAGGAAAATCCTTGCTTTGCTTTGGAGGCACATCATTTCTCATTTGGATTGCCTTGGATAGTGGTGTAGTGGCTGTGGCGTGCAGAGATGCCTGGTTTCTAAGCCATCCGCTGTAGGATAGGCAGGGCACAGGCCCTTGCCTTGCCGGACAACTCTTGGGCAGTGGCCGTCTGTTCAGGAGGAGACCGAGGCCCGGTGTGGACTGTCCGGGAAAGAGTGCTGCAGTCCGTTAATGATGTCTACCATGGGCACGGGGGCCTCGGGGAAGCAGCAGCATTCATGCCAGGTGTTTGCCAATCTTGAGATACAGCACAAACAAAAAATGTCACCAACCCTGGCCTCCTCTGGCAGCAGTCGGCGCTGCTTGGGCCAGGCTTGGGCTGTAGGTCAGTTTACGTCCTGAGTGAGAAGATGCACTTCCAAATAAGTGTCGTCTCCTCCTGGCACAACTAGGGCTAGTGTTAAGACTTTGACTTAAACCCATCCTGAAGCTCTTCTTTCTATTTCTGTTTGCCAGACGTTATTGTTTTAGTTGCTAACCTGACAGGCAGTATTCCCTTGGCAGTGAGCATAAACTAAAGCAGAGGTTCCCAGCCTATGGGCTGATTCTGCAGAATCACCTGGAAGCCCTACCGTTGGAGGTGCTGATTCAAGAAGTCCAGCGTGGGGCTACCAAGCAGTAATTTTTAAAAGCTTTTCTAGGTGGTTCTGATGCACTGTCAAGTTTGGGAACTACTTGATGTGTATAAATAGATTTTATATACTGTTTTTCCTTTTGTGCTTATGGCTTTTGGCAGATTCAGTTTGTGTTTGTTTCTCTAAAATCCTCTTATATATACCCTGCACAAGTGTGTTTATATAGGGGAGGGCTTGAAAAGGAACTTTGAGGTTAGGTCATTCAGCTACATGCTGTACATAATAGATCATCTGCTTCTTATCAGAGCATATGTGTCAGAATCACCTGGAAAGCATCTTCAGGACTCAGCCTGGAGTGTCTGAGGCAGCAGGTCAGGGGTGGGAGGACCTGGGCACTGCGTGAGTGCTTTGACTGAGCTCCAGCTGATTCTGAGGCAAGGGTGGTGGCATCCCTCATTATTATAGGCCCTTACTATGTTCCCACTTAGGAAACCCTGGAGGTGATTGGAAAGAACTGTGGGTAAGGATATGGGGGTTTGAAAATCAAATGGTTTTTTTTTCTACTCTAGCCCAGAGCCAGCTTGGTATTGCTGCTGCAAAAAACCCCCTCCTGCATTCCACTCCCACCTCAGTGAGTGAAACACAGTAGAGTTCAGAAACAGACTCTTGAGTAGGTGGTGCCTGAGTCTCCTCAAATAATCAGGTACTAAGGGCCAAGCTGCTGAGATCACAGCCTGAAACAGATTTGAGTTGCTGCCTGCCAATGGTTTGAAGGCTTTCCACACTCCCCACCTTGCACTTTTGGTGATTTGTTTTTCTCTTTTTCAATGGTGAATTTATGATAACGTTAAGATAAAAAAAACTGCCTACATCTCTGTTTTTCACCTTATTTGTCTACATTTCATTCCAGGCTTTAATCCTATGCATACATATCTTTCAGTTATTATAATTATAGTAAGCTGTTCAAACATTTGATCGTGCCCTGTTCAAGTTAATCAACTTGCCTGTGATCTCACTGTTAATAGGTAGAGGTGGGATTTTTTTTTTTTTTTTTAAGATTCTATTTATTTAGGGCGCCTGGGTGGCTCAGATTGGTTGAGCGTCTGCCTTCGGCTCAGGTCATGATCCCAGGGTCCTGGGATCGAGTTCTGCATCGGGCTCCCTGCTGGGTGGGTAGCCTGCTTCTCCCTCTGCCTCTCTCTCTCTCTCTCTGACACTCATGAATAAATAAATAAAAAATAAAAAAAAAACATTTAAGATTATATTTATTTAT